GAGGGTTAATGTGTGATTTAACGTTTAGTTATGTTTCTTGTACAAATGTGAGTGTGTTTGTATTTAGGGTATAGATGTTTAGAATTGAGACTTCATCTTGATGGATTTTTTCTGTGACTAATATGAACTGTCCTTCTTCATCTCTTATGATTAATTGTAGTTTGAAGACTATTTTGTTAGATATAAGGATAGCTACAGCAGCCTGTTGCTTAAGTACATTTGATTGAAAAATCTTTCTCAACCCTTTACCCTGAGATAATGTCTTTATTTTAAGTTGAGGTGCGTTTCTTGTATGCAGGAGAAGGATGGATCCTGTTTTCATATCCATTCTGTTAGCCTGTGTCTTTTATAGGCAAAATGAGACCATTGATATTAAGAGATATTAATGACCAATGTCAGTTTCTGTTATTTTGTTTTTGTTGGTAGTGGTGGTATTTTTTCCTTCTTTGGATTTGTTGGTGTGGTCTTGTCAATTGCCTGTATTTTTATAGGAGTAGCTAACTTCCTTGGGTTGGAGTTTTACTTCTAGAACTTTGCTTAGGGCAAAACTTTGTTGGATATATCAGTCTGGGCTGGCATATGTGGTCTCTTAGTGTCTGTAAAACGTCTATTCAGGAACTTCTGACTTTCAGAATTTCCATTAGAAGTCAGGTGTAATTCTGATAGGTTTGCCTTTATATGTTACTTGACCTTTTTCCTTTGCAGCTCTCAATATTCTTTCTTTATTCTGTATGTTTTGTGTTTTGTTTATTATGTATTGAGGGGACTTTTTTTGTCCCCTCTATTTGGTGTTCTACAAGGTACTTATACTTTTATACGTATATCCTTCTTTAGGTTGGGAAAGTTTCCTTCTATGATTTTGTTGAATATATTTCCTGTATCTTTGAGCTGGAGGTTTTTTTTTTTTTCCTTCTATTCCTATTCATCTTAGGTTTTATCTTTTCATGGTGTTCCAGATTTCCTGGATGATTTGTGTTAAGAATTTGTTAGATTTATCATTTTCTTTGACCAATGAATTTATTTCTTCTATTGTATCTTCAATGCCTGAGATTCTCTCTTCCATCTCTTGTATTTTGTTGGTTATGTTTGCATTTGTAGATCCTGATCGTTTACCCAAATTTTCCATTTTCAGAATCCAGAATTCGTTTTGTGGGGTTTTTCTTTGTTGCCTCTATCTCAATTTTCAAATATTGAATCATTTCCTTCGCCTGTTTGTTTTTATTTTTATTTTTTATTTACTTATTTATTTTTGCTTTCTTTGTTTTCTTTTTGGATTTGTTGATTTCTTCTAATTTTTTGTCTGACTTTTCTCTCATTTCTTTGAAGTAATTTTGCATTTCCTCCTTTAGGGCCTCTATAATCTTCATAAAGTTGTTTTAAATGTCTTTTTCTTCTTCTTCATCTGTGTTGGGAAGGACAGTTCTTGCTGATGTAGAACCCCTAGTTTCTGGTGCTACCATATTACCCTTTACATTGTTGAATGTATTCTTACACTGCCATCTACTCATTTCTTCTTCAATGGGTATATTTGGGGCCTGTGCTTCAGGGACCCTTTTCTGTCAATTAGTAGTACAGGTGGGTACTGTGGCTTAGGTGGTTGCTCTTTCTCCAGGTGCAGGCCAGACTGTGCCTATGGTAGTCACTGATGCAGCTCTGGGGACTCCTCTTCGGGTGCAGTCAGAGTCAAGGCTCTGGTGATTGCAGATGCAGAGGGGAATGGTTGTTGGTGTGGGGGGCTTCTCTGGGGCTTTGTTGGTTAGGGACCGGGTGCTAGATGGGCCTTTGGGCACTAGTGCCTACATAGTAGGGCTCCAACTGGGAACCCTGACACCTCTTCAGGTGCAGTCAGGGCCAAGGATCCAGTGGTCACAGATGCAGTGGGAAATGGTTGCGGGTGTTGGGAGGCTGCTCTGGGGTCTCTGGAGCATTGGTGAGTGCAGATGGAGCATGGAATGTGCCCCTGAGGATTAGTACCTAGAGAGCAGGGCTCTACAGCCCGGAACCCAGACTACAAAATAATTTCTTTATGCCTAAGCATATCTTTGCTGTATAACATTGGAACTGACCATCTGCCTGCAGTAGCTAGCTGATGGAGGCCTTCTGCCTCTTGAATGTTTCATTTTCTATTCCTCAAGGAACATTCAATTAGTTACATCTCTTAATATATGGGGAATGTAAAATACACATTGAGAATCATTCTTCTCCCAGATGTTATTTGACAGGATGCTTTGTGGTTTCTCAGTTCTAAGCTCAAAATTCAAAAAATTCTATTTGTTACAAATTTCTGAATACTTGGACTCCTGGGGGACATTCTTCATTTGTTGAAGCATGCCCTCTTTGCGGTAATGTTCTTTTTACACTTAGCAAAGAGTAGTTTAAATTAGTCATGAAGCATTCTTACAAAATTAAATGATTTAATTTTACTATATATAGATTGATGTAGGGTAAATTTTACTATGAATCTTTCTTGGTAAATCTTGGGTCCTTTGGTTTTGGTGTCTAATTGATGAGCATTTTAAAAATATGATACATTAATATTCTAGCCTAATGGTAGCATCTCAACAATGCTAATTTCTCAGTGGGCAGAATAACATTGGAACAATTTCAAAAACACAATTTTTATACTATTGAGGGGCTAAGTAAATGTACTGATAAAAGTTATGTTGACAGTTAACTCATGGCCTAATCCAACAGCAGATGGAATGTCTTGCTTGAGTTCTGGTTCATTAAGCAAATGTGACACTTTATTTTCAAATCCTTTTAGTTCAGGGAACTGAAGTGGCAAAATAGTAATATAAATGAAGCCACTTATTAATGAACTGAAGTAAACTATAGAAACAGATTGCGAGCAGGCGTCTTCAGACATGGTAGCTCAGTTCTTATGTCTAAATTTTGACTTTACAGTTTGACTGATATTTCATTATTATTTCTGAAAGTGTTAACTATAAGAATATACTGTGGCCAGGCATAAGGTAGGATGGACAGAAGGCTCAGAGGTTAAAGAAGCAGTTGCTGCTTTTGCAGAAGACCCAGGTAAGGCTACCAGCACCTACATAGTAGCCTACAACCATCCGTAAACTCCAGCTCCAAGGAATCTTAGCATCCTCTTCTTGCTTTGATGGAGATCAAGCATGAATGTGGTGTACATAAATACAATCAGATGAAATGCTTATATGTATAAAATAAAACAAATCTTCAAAAAGAAAAACAATGTTTAGAGTCATCCAACTTCATGCTGAGGTACATGCCAGATTTAGGGTTCATTATATTTGAACAGTATAGTTTGTAGCTCTCAGTTTATGCAGATAATAAAATAGCTTCTTTATATTTGATGTGCTTTGTTTTAAGTTTGCGACAATTGCAGTTTTAGTTATAGAACTTATAGCACTACATACTTTAGATTTGCATTGCTTACTCTGTTTCATTTCTATCAGCTAATTAATATTTTTGTAAAATTTTTCAGTTGCCAGTTTATTTCAGAATGATAGCAGTGCCATCTCTAATGGTAAATCAGATCATATTGTTGAGTTTGTATTGTGCGTTTGTTAAGATCATATTCATCATTTGCAGCCTAAAGTAATATTGACGTCACTTCATGAAGTCAGAGCAGATACGGAAGCATATTAGTGAGAACAGTTTCTCTTGCAAAGGAAAGCATAGTTGAATGACTAATTGTCACCAGTTTCTATGATTTCATCTATTGGGAAGAGAAGCTTTTGTTTTGATATGTTATCTCATTTATTTTTTGAATTAATCAGTTGCAGGTGTATTTCCTAGTATGGTGTCATTACAGTGGAAGGTGGTAATTTTTTTTTCTGTCCCAGTGTGCTTTTGCAAGAGTCAAACAATTCATTATATAATACCAGATGGTCTACTTCTAAAGCTTACATGAATACTCTGATCATTGAGTCCCCGATCTCCCACTGTTGTGTGTGTCAACAAAGTTTTATAAAATGATGTGTAAATGTTTTATATATAAAGTATGTATCTATAGTAGACACTAAGGGAAGGTTTTTGAAGTTCATATCAGTAGTAGCATATTCTATATTTGAAGACTGTTACCACGAATGGCATACCAGAGTAAAGCTTTAATTTTAATTTTATTTCCTCTTCAATTTTCTGTCTTTCCTGCTCTTTTTTCAGAAAATTATTATTTTTGACATATGCTACTTTAACAGGAGTGCTCACATCATGAGATATTTTTATGATTTACCTATAATTTGCCAGTAAACCACTCAGCTTTAAATAATCATCAAAAATAATACCTTGGAGAAATATACTCTTGAATTGGCCATTGTCATTAGTGAATAACTTGACATCATGGGATATCTTAAATACTTGATTTGCGCCATGTGGAAGTATCCATAGAGATGATAACTAATCTGTGTGACTTTTTCTCTATTTTTGTTTGCTTGTTATGTCTTGTCTTTTAGATGCTTGTGACCACACCAGAAAAATGGGATGTAGTAACAAGGAAGAGTGTCGGAGATGTTGCTCTTTCTCAAATTGTGAAACTCCTGATTCTTGATGAAGTTCACTTGCTGCATGAAGACCGGGGCCCAGTGCTAGAAAGCATAGTTGCGAGGACCTTAAGGCAGGTAAGAGGCAGCAATGGACTCCACACCTCACTGCTTCTGCCTCACTCTCCCACGCCAGCCTCCTCCTACTTACATCCCAGTGCTTTTCATTAAAGGGAAGTGTTTGAACTTCTTTCCTCTTCCCAAGAGACACCCAGTATCTTCTGTCACCATCAGTATCTTAGCTGTCTTTATACCCTTTCTCTCAAGTCCTTGCCCTTCCTTTCCTGGGTACCATTCTTTTCACTCTGTAGTGCTCCTTTTTTGTTTTGTATCTTAACTTTTCCTGCTCAGGGGGTACTTTCTCTTCAGCTTAAAAGTGGTGTTTAACTTCACTAAAAGTTTTCTTCAAAGTTTTATTTTTCTACTTAACTTCTGGAAATACTAATCTGATTGGCCCTATCCATTTTATTTTCTATCTGTGACAGGATGGTGATTTCTTGAACATAAGCATAAATGAAATGTTTTTACAGGTTCACCAGTTACTGAAAGCTTGTTCTTAAACCTATGTTCTAAACTTCTGATGTTACTAAATATTAATATTTGATACTACTTACCAAACCAGCTTTTAGATTCTGACTCTTTACATGTGGCTCCATGATGCACCCTATCTTGATATTTCACTTAAACTTTGTCTTATAAGTGATTACTAGTTGTATCAAGTAAGGGGCTTCATTTGGTGTTTTATGCATATACATAAAGTTCTTTGAACATATTTAGGGCTGCATTGCCCACGGTTATCACCTCCTTCCCCATTGCCACTGATCCCCCTCCTATTTTCTAATCCTACTTTATATTTTCTTTTTAAAAGATATTTATTTGCTTTGATTTTCTTCATAATTTCTTGATGATCTCTTTCATTCTTGATATGTGAGCATTCTCTAAGACAGTCACATTTGCCTTATTTTTTGGTCCTAAATACTTACTCCTTAAAAATAACACTTATTCCTATGTCCCCCCCACACACAGACACACATTTGTTCAATATCTCTTATCAAAAATATTTTAGAATGTTTCAAATTTTCTTTAAGAAAAATTTTTTTTGGTAGAACTTCCTAGGTAAGTAACTGTATTTATATGATTTACCCCATCCCTCTAACTCCTCCTGTGTCCCCCATTCTCTGAAATTCATTGCCTTTTTTCTTTTATTATCATTGTTACATATAGAAATATAATTGTATAAACACGTCCTTCTGAGTTCATTTAGTGTTACCTGTGTATATGTTCTTAGGACTGACCATATGGAATTAGATAACCAATTTTTGGGGGGGTTATCCCTGGGGAAGACTTACTCTCCCTCTCCCTTTCAGATTTTCTTTATTTTGACATATCTACATAATGCATAATTGTCCTAGAAATGGGAGTTTTTTAGTCTATATGTCAAATTCATTTTCATCTACATGCATTTATATAAAGCCTGAAGATTTTAAATGTTGTTTTAGCACATCAGAATTTTGCCTTCAACCTGTCAAAATATGGAACCTTCTATGTATGACATTGTTATCACTAAAAAAAATTCATACTGAAGTAACTTGCAATTCAGATTTTTAGGTTAGGTATGCTGACTGTGTGTGTGTGTGTGTGTGTGTGTGTGTGTGTGTGTGTGTGTGTGTATGTAGCATGTAGATTCATTTCTGGCCATACCTGGGACCCATTATTTTCTCAGTGTCCATTTCATCTCCATATAACAATGCCAAGACTTTCATGTTTTCCCTTCATTTGCATATGCCACTGCATATTTTCTTTAAAATTCGCGTCCACCCACATGTATTCTTTTATATTTGTAGTTCTATGATTCACATCTGAAATATCTTAATGCAGATCCATTAAAATTTTTAATATAAAAAGGGAAATTTTTTAAAAGTTGTTTCTAAAGCAAGTTTTAAAATACTTTTTTCCATGAATGGGACATAAATTTTTTTAGTCAGATTGGTGATTTAATTTTATTTTAAAATCTTTTAAGACACTGAAGAAGATATATGTGGTAGTTTGAATAAGTCTCTTATATATGAATGCTTAGTTTAGAGGTTTAAAAGAAAATGACCCCCGTAGGTCTATAGGGAGTGACACTATTCGGGGGTGTGGCCTTGTTGATGGAAATGATTTTTAGTTCACATCCTGCTGCATGAAGCTCAAGATGTAGAACTCTCAGCTCCTGCTCCGTCACTAAGTCTGCCTGCATGCCACTATGTTCCACCATAATAATGAATTTGAATTGAACTTCACAAGCTGCAATCCCTCCCCAGTAAAAATGCAACTGTAACTCGGATACGTAGTCATTATAGAGCGGCACTACCTGAGAAGGTCTTGCCTTCTTGGGGAAAATGTGGCCTTACTGGAGGAAATGTGTCACAGGGTGGGCTTTGAGGTTTCAAAAGCCAAGCAAGGCCTAGTATCCTCTTGTGCTGCTGCCTGTGGATCTGTATGTAGAACTCTTCAACTGTTTATCCAACAGCATCTCTGCCCCATGCTATGCTTCCCAATGACAATGGACTAAACCTCTAAAACTATAAACAAGCCATGATTAAGTGTTTTTTTTTTTTTTTTTATGAGAGTTACTTTGGTCATGGAATCTCTTCAAAACAATGGAATGGCAATCTTAGCATGGTGCAAAAAATCACAGGTTATAAAAGAAACCTGTGTAATAAAAGTATTACAAAAATCACTAAAGAAACAACTATCAAAATAAGAGTAACTGAATAGTAGAGAGACTTTGAGCACATAAAATCAATCGCTAATATTTGTAATAGATATTTTTAAAATTACTAGAAATTATCTTTAAAACAGGAGATTATTTTAATAGAAATGAAGAAATACAGAAATAAAAACGTTGAGAAATATGGAGAATATGTCTTAAAAGAAACAAAATCTGTATTTCTACCAGATTAGCAAAAATGTAAGAGAATATAATTTGAAAGCATCTGTTTTTGTAGTTCATTTCAGGACACCTAGTCTGGAAGCAAACAGCATAAACTCAAATTATTTCCTATACTCATTGACATTCTCTTTTACACGCTAAATAGTTTGGGAACAGCCCAAATGTTCTGCAAAAAGAAGTTATTTGATAACTTACATCCCATTTCTCCAACAACATGCTACTACTTTGCAGGCTTTAAAAATTAAAGGTGAGGGGGAGCCACATAAACTGAACTCCAAAAATAGCCATGTTACATTCTTCATGCAACAACAATCTGTCCTGTTAGTGGAACACAGACTAATTTTATGGGGAAGAAAAGTGTGCAATACATATTTGCATTCTTTCATTGTTTAATCAAATTTATTAAACTCTAACCATGTGCTAGCCAAACACTTCCAAGTACTATGAATTTAGAAAATAAGCTTGTGGACATGTATTGGCTTTAACATGGCACAGAGCGAGGCCCATGTCTGTGACAGCAGTTGCAGCAAGCTCAATCCAATATGTTGGGTTTGTTTGTTTTACAGTGAGGATGGAATTGAAGGAGTATTTATGATGTGTCACATTTTAACATGTCAGCATATAAATGTACACACATTACTACACCTATATAAAGTAAACAGAGTTAAATACTCAGTATGATTTGTGAAGTCAGACATTCTCTAACAGAGTTTCAGAATAACTTCAATGATGCATGTGGTTGTGACAGAACACTTGAAAGCTCTGTACCTGCTGCTCTCTCCACAGGCTCTCTTCCTCCAACACCTGTTCAAGATCTTTTACATTAAAAAGAATGATTTTGATCCTAATTTTTTCTTTTTATGCCTTGATATTAGAGAATTGGTGTCTTTTCCGGGGAGTCATGATATATGAATCCGTATAGCCCCCTTTTATTTGTGGTGAGCCACCTTGAAAGTCCAGGCCATCATTCTAAACCATTTCACAGATAAAGGCTTTCTTGCAGTTTTAGAGCTGTAGAGACCAAGCAGATATCTACACATTTGCTAAAGGGGTGTGGCTATGTGTTCACAGGGGGACTAACTAGCCTTACTGTAGCTTCTTACATCAGGAAGTGGGAAGTGGTATTGCTGTCAGTCCTTCTTGTGGCTGTATATGCTTCAGCATATGTGTTTTTTTTTTTTACTGCATGTAGCTTGTTTTAGAGAACATATAACATATTTCACACTCCCATTTTCATCTTTTGATGTTACCACTTTTCAATAGTTTCTCACCTTTTCTTCATTTGTAGTCCGAAGAAAGTCTTCCAGATTTTTTAGCTAGATACTAAAAATTATTAAAGTCTGGTCATCTCACTTTTAACTTCTGCAAAATCTGTCAACTACTGTGGGTTCTAGCCACTTGAAGCTATTTTATTTTTCCCTATTACTTTATAGTGCCTTGTATGCTAGGTGTACTTAAACTTACTTGAGGTAAAATGTGGGTTTTTCCTGTGTGCGATTAAGGCTTCTAAATGCCAGTTATACATTTTTCATCACTGTGTGCAAATATTTCTTAGAAATACTGTTCTTTTGAATGTGTCACATACTTCTCGTATATTTAAAATTTTCATTGTTTCCTAAATTCCAAAACGAAGTGTCTAAAATAAAGGAGTGGATTTTTTAACTGAATGAAGAGTTTCTTATAGTAAATTTTATAAGCTGTCTGTGTTCCCTCTGTTCACACTTTGGACGTTTTTTAGCATGTTTCAATAATAATCATACAACTAGCGACAACTCATATTTTATCTTCTGTATTTTTTCACTAGATTTTAATTTCCTTGGTATAAATGTAACTTTGAATCACATGTGACTTTGAATCACAAAGTGCTAATGTAGTGTTCATTACTGTTTATATTAAAATGCACGTTGTTCCTTGCGATTACCAGAAGTTCCCAGAAGATGGCAGTGTTTCACATCATAAGTAACCCTGACTCCTCACTGTGAATGATATAGGAAGCTATGTCAGCTCGGTGTAGCTTATGTTCCCGTCAGAAATTACATGGTAGATTAGAAACATTCACAGCACACGTGGAATCATGGGGAGATAAGACAGATGTGCAAGAAATTATAAATTATTGTATTTAACAACATAAAGTAACATTACTTCTTAAGTTTTTCCAATGAGGAGACAGACTGTCCAAACTTAAACTTTATGGGATAGAAATCATAAAAGTTTGGAAAAAGTAATCATAGAAGCTGTGAAAAGACTTCGGTTCTAGTATCAGCACTTCCCCAACCCACCCAAAAAAGTTAAATCCCTGATTTTTGGACTACAGATGAAGAATCTCAGAACAAGTTTTGTAGTATTCAGCAATACATGTTTCATTACCTGGTTTGAGAACTTCCCATTGTTTGGAATTCTTTAATTTGTTTCAGATTTGTTTTTTTTTTCTGTAAGATTACTTTAGTGAAACCAAATTCCTATATATTTCTTTCTCTGTATGTGTGTGCATCAGTTTTCACCCAGCTCAATCCGGATTTGATCCGGATTTATGCATCATGTAGTCTCTACAGATGTGGGTCTGTGCCTACTCAGGCATGCATCCCCTAATTACCATGGATTATGCAATCACCCAGCATAGATGGCTCTGGAACCATGAAGTTACCCACAATGGCCTGTTTTGCATATTTTAGTGAATCTCCAAAACTGAACAAACTTATTAACATTTACTTTTATAACAGCATCATAGCCATGTAGTGATATATCTTAGTTATCAAGTATATGGATATTTTTGATCCTTTGATTTTGTCACTTTCCACATATTGCAATATTAAAATCCAATCAGAATTTGACTTTTTAAAAAATTTTGAGTTTGGGGAATTTTATTTATTTGTTTAGGCAATACCAATTGTTACCTACCAAGTCAGCCCTCTACCAGGGAATTAAGTTTCCAGTCCCAGTTTTTGAAATTTATTGTATTTTCTCATGGTACAAAGCTATTTAATGTCTATTCCATAGTTTTAATGATAGTAGATAAAGAATAGGATCTGTGCATGCAAGTATGCATGTGTATGTATATGTGTATGTAGGGGATTCAAATATGATAGGCAAGTATTCTGCCACTGAGTCACATAACCAGGGCCCACATCTATTATTTCTGTAGTTTCATATGAAAAGGCCTCTGTTGACCTGTGATCTCACATCCATTTTCTGTACTATAGTTTTTAGCAGTTCATATGCATAGAATACATGATAGTCCTTTTGGTTAATTTGCATGAATCTTGGTTAAGTAAATAACTTCCAATTGGAATTACCCATGCAGGTTGAATCCACACAGAGTATGATAAGAATTCTTGGACTGTCTGCAACCTTACCCAACTACCTCGATGTTGCTACATTTTTGCATGTTAACCCCTACATTGGACTTTTTTACTTCGATGGCCGTTTTCGACCCGTACCTCTTGGACAGACATTTTTAGGTATTAAAAGTGCAAATAAGGTAAGAGCTTGTTTTAATAGCTGTACTTTTAAAGGAAAAATATTTTTGTTGACTTACTGTTGAATACTTAAATGGGATTAAATATTACCAAGTGATACTTTCATAACATACAATATCAAGCAAAATCAGGCACACTTCTTGGTGTTGGTGGTAGAAATCTTCGTGCAGAAAGGATCTTATGGTGGTTTACAGCGTTTTGAACATGTTAAAAGCTTCACAGTCATTTTTATTTAATTGAAGGACATTGTAAATAATAAAAACTAATTAAATCAGTAATATATATTTTGATATAATGTTCACTTAAAATAAGGAATAAGGCTTTCAGATGTAATTGAAAAGTAATTTCATGGTAGCAACCAACTGGGAAGATTTGTGCTTAAGAAAGATATTTTAAACCGGGCAGTGGTGGTGCACATCTTTAATCCCAGCATTTGGGAGGCATAGGGAGGTGGATTTCTGTGAGTTCAAGCCAGCCTGACCTACAAGCACTAATTCCAGGATAAGCTCCCAAGCTACAGAGAAATCCTGTCTCGCCCCGCGCCAAGAAAGAAAAAGAAAATGTTTTAATTATCATATTAATTATGTATATGAAAAATATTTCTGACATTCTATATAGTGAATGTCATTAAAAGCAGCCATTCCTTTAATGGTGCCACCATATGCCTTTTGTACTATTAGTATGCTTAGTACACGTTTATAGCAATATGAGTAAAACTTCAAATTATTCTGTTCAATTTGTATTCCTTCTTAGAAGAAATAGCTTTAGGAGAATATTCACAGTCATTTTGACCTCTTCTCTAAAAGAAAACTGATTGAAATTGTATAATATTTGGTCATACTCGGCCTTTCATTAATTACATTAAGTTTTCTAAATACAAATTTATTCTTTAAACAGTCATTTTTGCCTCATACTGTTGGAATGTTGGAAGAATACTCAGTAAATGCTTTTTATAATATTTAATTATGCTCGTGTGAGTGCCCAAGCCTGATGAGGCCAGGGTTGTTGGATCACCCTGAAGCTGGAGTTATAGCATTGCTGATATTGGTGCTAAAAAGCAAAGTTGGGTCCTCAACAAGAACATTCCATGATCTTAATGACTAAGTGATCTCTCTGACTCTAATACTCAGTTTTTTACATGGCAGCAAATAATGTACTACATGGTATAAAGGTGAGGTATTAGGGCCGGACATATGGCTCAGTGGGTAAAGGGCTTGCTATAAGCTAGTATCTAACACCCACATAAAATGCCAGATGAGCCTGGTCTCCTGCTATAATCCAGTCACACAGGAGGCAGGAGACTGGTGATACCCCAAACAAGCTGACTAGTTATACTAGCACATGGTGAGCTCTGATTTCAAGCTAGTAGAGAGTAATCTAGGAAAACACCTGGCGTCAACCTCAGATTATACATGCACATACATACAAATGCACACACATCATGTTTTTAGACCTGTGCCAAAGAAAATCTCAGTGAGCTACCTTTTTAATTGTACAGATCCTTTTTGGATTCATAGGGAAAAAAGAATATATTATGATAATAACTGTGACATGCATATTTAACTTTCATCAATTATTTCAAGTGATTTGGGCTACTATAAATACTTGCTATTTGTTTTTGCATCATTTCTTAAATATACGTTTTTTTATTTCGCTCATTTCACAGTATCATTCAGATAAACAGAGACATGTTTCCAGATTTTTCTAGACTTCCAGCTTAAATTATAGCAAATTGTAGTCACAGTGATATTTTTAAAATATCTCAAATGCATGAAAGCCCCCTAAAGTCTTATTTTCTTTCAATTATGTCACTCAGATTGGTAAATCACTTAAAGCTAATTAAATTCAAAGTGATTTTCATAGCATTTTGCCGGCAGTATACTCACAAAACACATGTTGGATGAACGAGTGATCTGATTGTTTTAAAGTTTTGGAAATTTGGTAATTAAAGAATTTACACATCGGAGTATGAGTAGTAAATTATAGTTAACAGATTTATATTAATAAAACTTATTAGTTTTATATTAATATGAAATACACTGTTGGCTAGAATGAAGATTTCACCAGGGTATTGTTAAGGTATTTTATAATTAGCTACTGGAATTTCATTTAGAAACTCAAGATATGATCCAGTTGTTATTCAGGAATATCAGAAATAGTAAGATGGTATTTGCAATGAATTGAACCCAATCCAGAGTACACTGAAAACATTTAGATTTAGCTTGGGGATAGAAAAAGTAAGATTTGCTTTCCAAGTCACTGGTGAGACTATTTACACTGTGATCATCTCGTCCTGCTTAGCTGCAGCTTGTCAGTCATAAGTTTCCCATGTCTTAGTGTTTTACACCACAGAAACAGCGAGGCAATTTCTTTCCTTAGGATATTCGTTGTCATAAAACCTGTGTTCTTTCACTTTTCAGAAAACTGTATGGTTTATGGAATGAGAAAAAAAATTAGCCTGAAGAATGAGATTCTTTAGAGAAAGCAGAAAACTTTGAAATGTGTCCTAGCATTTATATAGCTAGCTGGTGTATCCACCCAAAATCTATTCTGGTGTTTTAATAGCTAGCTGATATGTTGCCCCAAAATGTATCCTAGCGTTTCTATAGCTAGCTGGTGTTTCACCCTAAATGTATTCAAGTGTTTTTATGGCTAGATGGTATATCACCCCAAGATGTGTCCTAGCGTTTCTATAGCTAGGTGGTGTTTCACCCCTAAAATGTGCCCAAGTATTTCTATAGTTAGTTGGTATGTCACCCCAAAGACAACTAACTTTAAAATGTATTCTAGTATTCCTATAGTTAGCTGCTTTGGCATCCCAAAATGTATCCTAGCATTTCAATAGCTAGCTGGTATATCACCCGCAAATGTATTCTAGCATTTCTGTAGCTAGCTGGCTATCACCCCAAAACACTAACTTTAAAATGTATCCTAGCCTTTTTGTAGCTAGCTGGTGTATCACCCCAAGGACACTGACTTTTCAAACCTCAGCATCCTTTGTACTCTGAAACTGTGGCTGAGGCACTTTACTTGTACTTTTTATTTTTTGGTTTGTTTTATGTTAGATACTTATATTTCATTTGTTTGTTCTGTGTTTTAATTAGTTTGATAGCCTTTTGTAATATAATTGGCAGTTTCATTTTTAATTTGAAAGTATTTGTCTCATTTTGTAATTTTCATGTTTTAAAATCTTTAAGATGCAACAGTTGAATAACATGGATGAAGTATGCTATGAAAGTGTTTGGAAACAAGTAAAGGCTGGACACCAGGTACACTGAGTTTATATTATTTCTAGAAAATGCTAAATGAAAAACTGTAGATTTTTCCATCTTCACTTAAAAGTTTTCCTGAATTCTGAGGTTAAGATTTATTTCTTAATTGTTTAGTCTAACGGGTAACCACATGAGCTATATAAATATTAAGTACTATTAATATCCTAATGTTGATAGGTCATGATATTTTGTTTGCTTTTTTATTGATATTTAAGAAAAAGTTTGGTTTACATTTGTTACTTTAAATTTTTTTAAAAAGCACAAACCTCTCAAAGCTCATTTCTAATTAATAATTTTATATTAAGCTTTTTACATTATCATTATTACTGTTTTCATGAAGTATATTTGAAATATATTTAATAGATTGAGTATTGTTTAATTGTGTTTCGAAGTTGAGCACTTTCATTCTTGGGTATGGTTACATGTTAGACCACATGACTATTGTGTTTGAGCTACTGAGATCCATGGAGTGGGGGCATGGAAAGAGAAAGAGTCTCCATTGTCCCAAAATTCTTTGAAGAAAATGTGGAATGATATTCTATAAAAATTAACTTTTGCCAATTTTTTGTTGTTGTTATTCAGTAAGCTTTTATAATCTTTCAGCCCCCTCTTCTGCCATATTCCCTGAGCCTTAGGGACTGGAGTGTTTTGTAGCTGTATCTATTGGAACTGGGCTCCACAACTTATCATTTTGATTGGTTGTAGTTTTCTCCAGTAGTCTTAGTCTGTTGCAAAATGAAAATATATTTTTGTGTACAAAAGAATCCTTTTACCAGAGGCTGAATTATATTACAGCTGCTTTATATGAAAAAAGTCAAACTCACTTGGACCTGAGAACAAAGATAAGTGCCACCTAGTGAACACCCTTGAGATATGTTATCTTTTTAAACAAAGGTTTTCAACATTGATTTTTCTGTTAATCTTAATAGAATGTTGTTGGTCTTAAGAATGCTTACTTGCTTTTTTAATCTTAGTCTGTTTGAGAGTCCTCCTTCCTTATTTATTTTTATTTATTGTCTTATTTTTTGTATTGTTTTTGAGACAAGGTCTCATGTAGCCAAAGATACCATTTCATTTCTGATCCCCCTTGCCTATATGTCTCAAATACTGATTAATCACGGGCATGATGTCACCATTCCTGGGGATCTAACCCAGAGTCAAGTGAGTGTTAGACAAATCACTTCATCAACTGAACTGCATCCTCAACTCTCTATTTGAAAATTTTAAGTTTATCAATACTACTTTTAATAGGAAAATCAAGAATCCTTAAATTAATACTTTTTCTAGCTCTTAAGTAATACCTAAAAATGATAACATTGTTTTACATTTACTAAATTCCCTCAGCATCTTCTTAAGTATATTCTGTTATGTATAGTTGACAGACAAAATAAAGTCCTGTTCAAAAAAGTAATATGTTGTTTGTGCTCTTGTCATTTGATGTATTGGATTTTCTGGGTCTGCATCTATTTTGAACTGTGCATTGGTAAAATTTTATATATGGGCTTTTAATTATGTTTTGCTGTTCTTCCAACACACACACACACACACACACAAATCTTTATCAATATATGGTAGAATCCATTTTAAATAAAAATGCTTATCGATTTTTTTTTAGATAATAGAGGTAAATTGTAAATATATTACTGTGGAATATACAATAAACATGAGCTAATGAGCAGGCCAGAAAGTAAGCAGTCTTCCCTCATGGTTTCTGCCTTAGTTCGTGCTTTAACTTTTCTCAGTGATGGCCTGTCATCTGGAAATCTAAGCTTTGCAGATAAACCCTTTCCTCTCCAAGTTGCTTATATCAGAGCAATGGAGATAAAGCTAGAGCATACTGTTACCCTAAAATTAAAAGAAATCAAATAATGTTTCCTTTTATATCGTAGCACTTACTGGCCAGATAATTGATGCAGTCCATCCTTGACATCCTTGCAAACCTGATTTTAGACACCTACCACGAAAAATACCAGAATCAAGAGGTCTTCAAAACTTTCATTTAAAATAGCATCGTTACAGACATCTTCTCACACACTTAAATTTTCTTTAGATTTCTTACAATATCTATTGTATGATAAACTGTAAATAATTGTTCCTCTATATTCTTTTAAAGAGTAAGGCTGAGGCAGAAGGGCTTTATGTATTCACTTTTGATCACAACAGGCCTGAGGGCTTAAGGATCCAAAAACTTAAAAACTAATGAGATGTCTCCTAAATGATGTTGACAGTGTAGTTTGATGTAAGGTTGTGACCTAGTGTGTGTTTGCCACCTTTTTTTCCCCAGTTTTTATGACATATAAAACAAAGTGGTGTTTTGATAGTGACTTTTTTTTTTTGATTGACAAGTATTTCCTTCTTACTGTAAATTTTTTCTTTGGTTTGGACATGCACTTACTTTCAATTAGAGATACTCTTCTTCCCCACTTTCTTGTTTCAACCTGTGACCTTGTGACCCTTTGAAATACACACACACATTCACACATGTACATGCAAATGAACAAAGAGGAGTTAAAATAATCACTACTTATTTCTTACAGAGTGGCTTCTTTGTTCTTTGTTCTTTTTAAAGACATCTCATGATCTAAAATTCCCAATAATTTTTCCTGATCTTTTTTTTTTGCCCTGTGGTAAGATCTTATTACTTTATTATATTTTTAATTGTTCAAAAATATGAAAACCATAAATAGAATTAATAACATTAAAATGTATGTTCTGCCTAACAGTCTTAAATCTCAGTATTGGTTTTAGAGTGTTTTGTGCAGTGTTCTTTCAGATTTTTGTTCTAGTAGGATAGGTTTTACCTAGAAAGGTTGGCTGTAAAGGATGTGTTGTTATCTTCATGAACTTTGTCATGAGTGCAGTTCGATTGTGATGAATTTTGTTGTCCTCATAAACAGCATGTTCTTAGTGGTATGGGTAAGACTAGAAATAGGAATGTTTGACTCTTTTCCCCACTAGTTGACATTTGCCTTTAGTGTTGGTAGTATTACAAAGCCTAAACCAGTGCCTTCATACGACAAACAAACCCTGGGTAGATTTGTAGGTTCTTACATTAAAACAGTTATAATACAGCTAATGATGCTATTAAGTTCTTTTGTAACCTAATTCAAGAGTTCCACTCTTTCCACTTGTTTGTGTTTCCTGTGGTGTCGGAATACCTGTGAGCAAAGTGCTCAAAGCAAATCTATAACTGTATCCATCTATGAAAAGCATTTGTCCGTTTATTCTTGTGTCCTAAATTAAACTGTGATCATTTAGCTTGAGACGTGGCAGCATTCTGCTGATGACTAGCACTGACAGTGGCACCAGGGGTATCTGGAAAACAAGATGCCAGGAGTTTTTATTTTGGAAACTAGAGTTACCAATTTTTGTAAGTTCAGCATTCCTTTATTGATTCCATTATAATATTTGGTTGGTCATTTTAGTTTTTGATACTGAGACTTGCCTAAATTTTTTTCCATGGGCTTTCAGTCCTCGAAGTTTCTTTATTCCTTATTAAATCATCTTAAGATACACCTTAACTATGCTGTTATGCTATATTCAGAAAATCGGGAAACTACCTCTTCAGTAGAGGTTCACAATTGCATTTTTCGCTCATGATTAAAGTTGAAGTTAGTTTCTCTGCTGTAATCAACTGCCCTTGTATTAAGTTCCAAATGTTTATTTTAAGTACATGAGATTGTGTATATCTGTCTGAGAAAGATGAAGAATGTATAGTTTAACATTTGACTTTCTCTAAAAAGTGAATAGACCATTAGATCTTTATAGATTCACTTCTAATTGAAAAGTCTAACTCTATATGATTTTTTTCTAAAAGGCTTTCTCCCTAAATATTATTGTGCATATAAGCATAATAATTATACACTTGTCTTTTTCCTTATGGGTCAGTGCTGACTAGATACATAGCTGGTAAGATTTGCTACTGGAGCTCTGACAGATCTAACATCACACGAGCATGTACCATGAACAACCAGCTACATATTCTATGGTTATGCCTTTCTTTGTTAGAACACATCTAAACTTTAATTCTGTTTCTTCCATCATCAGTTAGTATTCAGGAGTAGTAAATATATAAAGCAGTCTTTTCTAGTCTGAGATATCTAATTGACGTTTCTTGGGTCTATCTCATGACTCCATTATTCTAGCTTAAAACAACAGCAACAACTAAACAGGTCAAAAAAGAAAAAAAAAAAAGATCCAGTGAATGCACTTGCCTTTATTTGTTTGCTTTCCATGAAGTTGTCTGTATCCTGAATTTCCCCTGGTGTGTGTTCTCTCAATGTTTTGATTTTATTTTTAGAGCAGTTATTTTTCAGGTCACTATTAAAAAAGATTGAAATGGAGTCAGTTTTTAAAAGGTAGCAAAGACATTACATTTTCCTCTTAAAAAAAATCCATTTGGAGTAAATTAGAATAGAGAAGTCCCATGTTTGGAAGCCGTGCTGGTACTCTCTGTCCATGCTATTCTATGAGTTTCAGTACCCCAGTCATCTAAACATGTGCATTCATGGACTTAATTGACTTTATGTGTAGCTCTGTCCTAAAAGCATTGGCGACGGTAGGAGGCAGTTGTGCTCCACTCAGGCATGTGTGCTGACAGATGGAGAAAACCTTTTCCCGTTGATTGTCAGCATTCCTACTCTGCAAGACTTCAAGCTCTTCTTGGCAACTGGGAAATTAAAAGTTGGCGATTCAGCCTTTAATTTTGATCCATCTGCTCAAACTAATGAGACGTCTCATTTATAAGCTTTTCTTTGTGTTACCAAATGCAAGTACAGCTTTATCATTCCTGTTAATAATTCCCCTCCTCCTGTGTAACTTGCAGAATGGGAAAATAATTGATGCCTGTGGTTCTATTGAGATTGTCTTCTTATACAAACTTTGTTACAATGATAGGAAGACAATTAGGAACTTTCTCTAATTATAGCATAGTGAACTTTTCGAATCAAACTTTGAAAAGGAAATAAGATCCTTATTTAGTAGCTTCTTATCTAAAA